CCTGGAAAGCTCCCCCAGCCCAACCCCCCTGCCAGAGCAGGGGCACCCAGAGCACATCACACAGGAACGTGGCCAGGGGGGTTGGAATGTCTCCAGAGAAGGAGACTCCACAGCCTCTCTGGGCAGCCTGGCCCAGGGCTCTGGCACTCTCACAGCAAACAAGTTCTTCCTGAGATTCACATGGAACCTCCTGGGCTCCAGTTTGCACCCACTGCCCCTTGTCCTGTCACTGGACATCCCTGCACAAAGCCTGGCTCTGCCCTCCTGACACTGCCCTGAACAGATCTGTGCCCATGGATGATGTTGCCCCTCAGTCTCCTCTTCTCCAAGCTCAGGAGACCCAGCTCCCTCAGCCTTTCCTCATCAGGGAGATGTTCCACTCCCTCCATCATTTTTGTGGCTCTGAACTGGACTCTTTCCAGCAGGTCCCTGGTGGGGAGAGGGGTGGCTCTGCCTCCTTCACAGAATCACAGATTTGTCATGGGTGGAAAGGACCTCTCAAGTCATGGAGTCCAACCAGCAGCACAAAAAAACCCCACAACCTTGGCCACTAGAGCATGTCCTCAAGAACATGGCTTTTGAATACCGCCAGGGGTGGTGACTCCACCACCTCCCTGGGCAGGCTATGCCAGTGCCTGACCACTCTTTCAGTATAGAAATCTTTCCTAATATTCAATCTAAACCTCCCCTGCTGCAACTTCAGGCCATTCTCTCTCTTCTTCCCTTGGGATCTTTTCCCCCTGTGGGGCTCAGTGTATCAGTTCCCTCCTTGCATGCCCAGTGCTTCCACAGGCCTGGTGAAGCTGGCCAAGAGCTGGACAGGAGAGGGGATGGAGTGGTGCCCAAATGGACATCCTTGTGTTCCTCATTGCTTGGCCCAGGCAGCAGGTCTGGGCCCTGCTGTGTGACTCCCATGTGACTCCGAAGACAAAGCCCAAAAGAGCAGCCTCTCTTTCTGAGCCCACCATTCAGCTGGATCCAAAGCTCACAAAGTGCCTTCACCCCCCCCCCATGCCTTCCTGCCAGCTCCATGTTCCTGGCTGAATTGAGGAGCTTCTGCAGCACCAGGAGTCAAGGTCTAAGCAGTAGGCTGTGCAAACTTTCTTCTTCTGTGGTGTGACTTTCTTCTAAATGGGAAGGTTTTTTTTGGTGCCAGGGACTGTGCTGAACAACTCCACGGGCTGTTGGTGCCAAATAATAAGGGATCAAAAGGGGAAAATAAAGGTTGTAGAAAGAAATAGTCAAAGAGAGGAAAGTGGTTTTGGATCCACAGCAAAACGCTCTCTCAGGGAATCCCTTTGGTGACTGGGAGTGCTGGAAAATAACAACCAAAAGGCTTGGAATAGAAAAAGTTGAAAATAATGTGGGGATTTTCTCCTTTTTGCTTGTGGGGAAGTTAATTGTCAGACACGTGCAGCTTTCAGGGAGCTGGCAAGTAGAAAGGCAAGGAGACAGTCCTCCCTCCTTGCTCCTTTCTCAGCAAGCTTGGAGAAAGATGTCCCCATTGCCACCTGCTGCTTTGGTACAGGGTCCAGCTTCCATGCAGCATTCCCAGGAATCTCCCCTGCTGCATCCACTGAGGCGGGGGGAGGGAAATGTAGCAAGTGGGATTTCAGCAGCACATGGAGAGCTGATTCTTTGATTTATGTGTCTACCTCGCCAGCAATATTAAAAGCAAGATTTTGGAAAACGTTCAGGATTAAAAATTAACTGGAGTTTGTCCAAAATCTTTTATTTATTTATTTATTTTTATTAGGCAATGTGTCTCTCCCAAGGCTGCTAAGCTAATACCCAATTGTCAGATTGCCCAAAATTTCAAATATCTTGGACTTCACAGCTCTGTTCAGACTTGAAAACACAGCCTTCTGTTCCAGAGCTCACTCAGAGATATATTTTTTTTTGTTTGGTTTTTAAAATGTTCATCTAAAGGATTTGGCAGGGGGAAATGCAATGAGGAAGACACTTTTCTTGAGGTGTGAGGGAATGTTTCAGAATGCTTAGCTCGAGGGAGCCTGAGTGTCCTGAAGAGAAAGCCCAGCCCAGTCAGGCTGGTTGCAGGTGTCTAAACATCACCTAGTTCCTGATTATTTTTGGTAGCACACTCAGGATTCCTGAATGCTACTGCAATTGCTGAACCAGGAGGAGGGGAAACTTTCTCCATGAATAGTAAATACACCCGTAGCTATGGAATAACCATCCATTTTCTGGGATGGCTGGCAGAGCTGTGGGTGGTGTGATGCCAGGGTGGTGGGTGGCTCTCAGGGTGGAGGTGACTTGTGATGTGACCATGCTGTGATGGGATCTGTTCCACTGGGCCTCCAGTGTAGCTTGAGGCCTGACCCAGTGTATTCAGGATGAGAGGACCCTTTTGCCATGCAAAAATGGTGAAAAAGAGAACTTTTGGTGAAGTGTTGGCTAGATAGGGACCAGCCCCTTCTGGGTTCAGCAAAATCTGTCCCTGCCTTGAGACAGGATTGGTCCCCAGGTGGCTTCCTTATTTATCAAGGGAATAGAATGCTCTCTAGGAAGACAGGAAAACATAGTTCTCTGAGTGCTTAATTTTGGGAGGATGACTGGAAGGGGGAAGGAACCTTTTATCCCTCTGTGAGGGGAGGTTTTCAAACCTTCCTGCTTTTCCAGAGAGCTGCACTTGGCCTTTTTGTTCCCATGTATTTGGCCGTGCTCTTTGCTTCCTACTGAAAAGTGAGAGGAGCCAAAGCCACTAAGCCCTGTTTTCTGCTCCTTCACAACGTGGTGCCACCTCTACTTCCAAAGAAGAAGCCCAGGAAGCAGGGTTGTAGCCTCCTTGCACTCCTTCTCTGCCCCACAGCAAGCTCACTTGGCTCCAGATACTGAGATAAATGCCAGGGAAAAAGCCTCTTTTTGGCTCCCTGGTGGGACTTCTGGTGGGTTTTCAACCACCCCAGCTCCTTCAGGAGGAGGGTTTTGTCAGAGATGTTTTGCTGTTGAGGGCAGGTTGCTTGTTTCCATTTCCCTGCTTCTTGTGACAGTCCAGGATTGCTTTTTGGCCTGTTTCATCCTGGTGGGGAAGTGGTTTCTCTGCAGCTTTTCAACGAAGTCATTTGGAAACATCCCTGCTCTCCAGCCAGCTCCTTAGCATCTGGCATTACATGGTGCTGGCTCAGGGCTGAGCTGTCTCTTGTGCCAAGGCTCCTTCAGGAGGGCCAGGAAAGGTGCTCTTCAGCTGTTCCTCCTCTCTCCAAAGCCTTGTTGGCAGAGAATCATCTGCTCCTTGAGAATCAGGCCAGGCTGGACACACACCATCCCCACTCGAAAGTCACGACCAAGCCCGTCTGAGGATAGATACAGGTGGTTCTTGGGTGGTGGGCCCCAGAGGTGCCAAAGACAAGGAGAGTGCTCCCCCTCCAGGTGTCCTTCAGCCTCACCCCCTGCCCTTGTGTCACCCTGGGCTGCAGTGGCGGTGCTGTTGCCCATGTCCCCAAACATCTTCTCTCTCCCCCACCCAGGTATGGAGCAGACGTGGATGTGAATCACCACCTCCCTTCCCGGGACCCCAGCCTCTCCCTGCGGCCCCTCACCACCCTGGTGGTCTGTCCACTCTACATCAGTGCTGCCTACCACAACCTCCAATGCTTCCAGCTGCTGCTCCAGGCTGGAGCCAACCCGGATTTTAACTGCTGTGGGCCCATCAACATCCAGGGCTTCTCCAGGGGCTCCCCAGTGTGTGTGATGGACGCTGTCCTGCGGCACGGCTGTGAAGCTGCCTTTGTCCAGCTCTTGATTGACTTTGGAGCCAATCTGAACCTGGTGAAAGTGGAGGCATTGGGAGTTGAATCCACTGGAAGGATCAAAGTCAACCCTGAGGCTATGGAGGTGTTCAAGGAAGCAAGGGGTAAGTGGTGTTGACTGACTGAAATGGTGCTGGTTTTATCTCGCTCTTGGGGATTGCCCTGGAACAACCTGGAAGTCTTGAAGGGCACGTAAGATGGGGCTTGGAGCAACCTGGGCTGGTGGGAGGTGTCCCTGCCCATGCAGGGGGTTGGAATGAGGTGATCTTTAAGATCCCTTCCAACCAAACCAGTCTGGGATCTCCCCAAGCCTGTGTGCACAAAGGCAGTCCTTGAGTGACCTGGGGTGCCCAGGGAGGGATCCAAGAGGTGGTTGTGTCTGGAGAGGCTACTTGGGAAGTAGAGCCACGGGTGGTGGGAGCAAGTGGAAGGAGAGAGCTCGACTAGTGGTGGACAAAGGGTGAGGAAAAGCCTTTTTGAATTGAAAAGGCTTTTTGAACTCAAAAGGCTTTTTGAATTTAACATCCTCTGGGAAGCAAACGAGTTACAACAGAAGTAAACCAGAGCCTCAGGCCTGAACGTGCCTCAATTTACCTGCTCTTTCTTTAATTTTACAACAAAATCAACATCAATCCTGTGCACACCCTCGTTCCAGCCAGGCCTGCACCTCGTAAAACCACCAGGCTCTCAGCTGGTGAAGGCCAGGGCTTTGCAGCAGGCTCGGAAGTGGGCTTTTCCCTCTTGAACTCCAGAGGAATTTCAAAGGGATTCAGCCCAAAGTCACTCAGCTTTGCACGTGTCTGGTTTTTAAACCTGCCTGGAGTTGTGCTGGGAAGAGGTGCACAAAAGCTGGGGCAGGTGGTTTCCATTAAGCCTGGGTTGAGGATGCAAATGGGACTCCTCAGGGAGAAGGTGCAGGATAATGGAGTGATGCCTTGGAGGTCCAGTCCCTGAATCAGCATCATCCTCTTGTCCCTGTGCTGGAAGAGCTCTCCATGAACTCCAGAGAAGCCCTCAAAGGAGAGCTGAGATAAGGCCTGAGTCTCTTTCAGTGCTGTTGATTCACAGGGGGTGATTTAGACAAAAAAAATAATAATAAAATCAGGTCCATGCCACCTTAAAACAATCCCAATGGTATAAAACCTCTCCCAGCCTCACCTGGGGTGGCTTTGGCAGTGATCTCTTGAACCCTGTCCTGGAGGGACTGGTCACAACCCCATGGAACCTCCATCTCATCTTTCCCAAACCACCCGTGTGGCAACTGCCATCGCTCCAAACCCTTGCCTGAAAGGTTTGGCCTTGCAGGATGTGGCCTATGGAAGAGGTTATTGATTGATTGATTGATTTGCTCCTCAGCCAGAGCTCAGCACCTTTCACACCCCTTGATGTCCCTCTCCCTCACCAGGTTTTCTCTGCTTGCTTCCTTGCAGGCCACCCCCGGAGCCTCCTGTCCCTCTGCCGCATCGCCGTCCGAGGAATCCTTGGCAAATCTCGCCTGGATCTGATCCATATCCTTCCAATCCCAGACCCCATTAAACAATTTTTACTTCACCAACACAGTTAAAAGGGCAACTGGCTGCTCTCTGGGGCAGCTGGATTTGTTCAGTGAGTGCTCTGATAAAGCCAAGTGCCCATCCCAGCCCTTCCCCTCACAGTGAAATGCTGTGTTGCTCATGACGTGCACATCATGCCCTGCCCCTGTGGTTTTTTTCCCCTCCAGATTTGGGTGCAGTGATTTTGTGTGTCTGTTCTTAAGCTAAGGTTATCTTAAGTAGTGATCCTTTGTTTGCAGCTGGTTGGGTGATGAGACCACTAGGTGTGTTTGGCTGGTACATGAGCAACTTCAAGATATCCTATAGCTCTTGGTAAATGTCTCTTGGGTGTGACTCTACCTCTGCCTACACACACCTTGGGTCTCAGCTGCTTATCTGCCTGGGGAAAGTATCCATATTTAAGCCTTTCCTCTTCCTGTAGCATCTAAGGGAGTCCCTCCTCACCTTGCTGAGGGTTTTACAGCAGCACTCTTCTTCTGCTGTCAGTGCCTGGCTTTACTCTTCCCTATGAAGTCTGTATCTTCCTCTGTCTTCTGCTGGTGTGAAATGCATCCAGGTTTCCTGCCCAGTGCTTGGAAAATTATATCTATGTCTCTCCAAGCTGCTGACTTGGCTTTCTTCGTGTGGAGGCCCTAATGGGAGAGTAGCAGAACAAGTCATCCTACCCTGTCTGAGATGTTCCTGCAGAGCACCAGGTCTGCTGTGGCAGCTTGGCTGTCCTTCCAGCTCTGTGATGGACAAGGTGGGATTTGGCTGGTCCTCCTCCTGACTGCTTGGGGCTGGAGGAATTCTGGTGACCACCCTAGCACAGGTGGGAAAACGTGGAGAGGAGAGGAAAAGATAATTGTCACCTCTGGAAACTCACAGCCTCTTGTGGGTACATGATCCCTGTGATTGAGTCACCACTCTGTGTGTTGGTGGGACAAGGATTGTTATGCTCAGGTGAAGCCACCACATGAATCTGGAAGATTTCTGGTCTGGTTTTGTTGTTTTTTTTGAAAAGTAAGAAACTCCTGCTCACTGAAAAATAGGCTGGGTTATTTGGGAGTGACCAGGAGCAACAGGGGAGCAGTTGCTGAGTTAAACTGTTGTGTTTTTCTGTGGGATGGCTGCTGATGAATCTCATCTGTGTGATCATCAAGAAAAAGACACTATGAATGGTCCCTAGATGCTTGCAGTGTTGCAGTGATTTGGATGTTCTTGAAGGTCCAGTAAAGCAGCTGACAGTGCACAGCACACAGAAGTTCCTACATACCTTTGACTCCATATCCCATGGTGGCATAGTGACCAGAGAAAACCCTCCCAGGTCTTTCTGTTTGCATGCTGCTTCTCCTAGCAGTGTGGAAAAGGGAGAGGAAAGGACTGTTGGCCTTTTCTTGAAGAGTTAGAGGGTTGTGTGCTTCTAAATGCAGTGTTGCATCCAGCAGCACTTTTGATTTCCAGTGCCTCTTCTATTTCTGTTTGCCTTCAAGGAGCAAAGTAGTCTTTGTCAAAATAGCAACTTTAGAAGGACAGAGATGATGCTCAGGATCTTGAGTAAAAATTCAGGTGATAACTGGTTTTTGCCTTTACTTACTGATTCTTTCTAGTCCCTGTGTTAAAACTTGATGTTTATTGGACTGGTTTTTCTTTACCAGATATTCTTCCCGTGCCCGTGCAGTGGGGTATTTTTCCAGATGTGGTCCTAAAGATGCCAGGGATTTGTTTCTTGTATGGGATCAGTGCCTAGGAACCTGTGGTTGAGAGCTGAGTGTGGGATGGCAAGGACAGTGAGACAGCTTCTCCTTGAAATGGGATCTTGCTCTGGTCCCTCATCTCCTTGACCCCCTGGGGTGCCAGGGAACTGGGGTTCAGCTGCCCTCCAGTTTGGCTTTGAATTCCTTTGCCTGACAGCCCTGGTTATCCTGCCTCTTGAGGAGCACATCTCAGAGATATGCCCCATTGGTCTTGGCACTACTTCCAAAGTGTTCTTTTTCCAGAGGCATAAATGAGTGGAAAGTCACAGTTCAGTTTCTGGGCCTCCCACTATGGGATGTATTTAGGATGGAGTTCCATGAGCAATGATGGACTTCTTGGGATGTTTTATTATCTGCTGAAAGGCAGGTGGCTTCCCAGGATGCTTTCAGAGAAGGAGGAAGGGCAGGAAAAATACAGTCCCTGATTGTTTCCTATTATTTCAATTCCATGGCCAGGCCTGGAAGGTCCCAGCTGGCTCCTTACATTGCTCTGCTCACTGATTTTAGGATAAGGTGGCAACATTTGCACTGCTAAGAACAGACTGAACACTCAGTGCTCAGATCATTGAATCATGGAGTGGTTTGAGTTGGAAGGGATAGAAAGATCATCCAGTTCCAACCCCCCTGCATGGGCAGGGACACCTCTCAGTAGACCAGGTTGCTCCAAGCCCCATCCAGTGTGGATTTCAACACTTCCAGGGCTGGGGCAGCCACAGGTTCTCTGGGCAACCTGTTCCAGCAAACAGCAAAGAATTTCTTCCTGATGTCTCACCTCCATCTCCCCTCCTCCAGTTTTAATCCATTCCCCAGATACCAAAGGATACTTCCCAAGCCCTCAGGTGAGATATAACAGCAGGGATATGTATCTGCAGACGTGCTTTCCAGGTGAGAAGGCAGGACTTTGGTGCTGTTTCCCTTTCAGGCTTGCAGATGGTTTAGGTTTTCACTGTGCTGGAGGCCAGGGCAGCCCACGAGCATGTTGCCTGAGAGCTGCACTCTTGCTTTTATAGGAGTGTGAACATGCCTGAGAGATGCAAACAGGTTGTAAAGCCTCTTGTCACCTTGCTGGTGGAACCATAATGTTTTGCAGGAGCACGGGCTGGAATGTGCCCTCTGGCTCTGCTCTGCAGAGGCAGACAATGAGGGAGGTTGTCTGGAGAGATTGAAGAGCAGCTTCTGGCCATGCACAGAGTCAATACCTGGTGCTGATATGGTTCCTTTGTGGTTTCCCCCTGCCCTGGGTGAGCTCAGGATGGGGAGTTTGGCCCCTGCCAGTTTGTTCTTTACTCAGAATTTGGGGCTTGGTGATGGTGGTGCACCAACCTTGTGCTGGACTTTCTGCTTGTGGGGATTTCTTTTCACCTCAAGCTTGAAGGACTGCCTGGGTTCTCAACTCCCAGCAGATGTGGAGTCCCAAGGACTCCCCTGACCATGGAAGTCTTCATCCCCCTGACCATGGATATCTCCACACCCCCATCCACAGGTCAAAGGATGGTTCTCCCAACCCAACAGCAAGCAAGCTTAAAGTTCAGCAGTCACTTGGGCATTTGCAGAGTGAAAGCTTTGAGGTGCAGGAGACATTTTGCCTGGTTGACCCACCCAACTCCCATCTTACCTGCAGGACTGTGCCTCCTCTTGGTGTTAAACCTGGATGGTCTTTCTTCTGGCTTGAGAGGCTCCAACTCAGGGGGACAACTCCCAGAGTATTGAGCCCTAAATCCCTGTGCACATTAGAGGCTACATAAACCCAGTGACAGGGTTTAATATGCAGACTTAGAAGATCTGGAATGTTCCTCCTAGGGAAATGATCATGAATCCCAAAATAGGTTCATGACATTCACAGGCCTTGGTGTCCTGTAGGGCCAAAACCAATGTCCTCTGCCTGTCTTGTCCTTTTCAATCCAGGAAACAACAGTCTTCCAAAATGAAATCTGAGGAAATATGTGCATATTATTTATCTTCCCACTGGAGGAACAGCATTTATTTTTTGCCTTAGCTCAGACTTCACCTTTTCCTCCTGTGGCCAAATGGTTTCTCCATGTTGTCCACAGGGCATAACAGAACAAATGAGTGTCCTGAAGTCATGGGTGGGAAATGAGACCTGTTTTCTTGCTGCACAGCATATAAAGCTGTGCATTGTGTGGCCTTGCTGTGAGCCTGGGTGGGATGGGATAACAAGATTTGGAAAATGGTTCAAGAAACCAAACCAGATCTGGGATAAGGAAAGCAGATACAAAGCAGGTGGGTCTTTTTTTTCATGTGGGCTTTGTTGCTGGAGGGGATTTCCAGAGCATGAAATGCTGGTAGCTGGGACCCAAATACCATTTCCTGCCCTTTGGGGGGCTGTGCAAAAAGAGCAGAGGAGCAGCATCTGTTGGGTTGAAGTGTTTGGGTTTGGGGTTTTTTGTTGTTTGTTTTTTTTCCCAGTCCCAAAGTCAAGTAAAGCACTTTTTGCACCAAAACCAGGCTTGGAGGTCCAGCACCTCTTCAGCCCTTCCTTTTTCCAGTGAAGGAACCCACCCAGGATAGAGTGAGGGGTGACCAAGTCCCCCCACTTTGAAGAAGCCCAAATCCATTGGTTTTGCCCAGGCTGAAACGCTTGTGCAAGGGCAGGCAGATGAGATCTGGGAGCAGCCAGGAGGTTATCTGTGGTGGGCCTGGATTCACGTGTGGCTGAATAAAGATGTTCCCCTCTGCAAGACGGTGCCTGCCTGATTATTTACCTCGCCGTGGCAGGGAAGGAAATCTTTGCTGGAGCCTTCTCCTCCTCATCCTCTGCAGCCACTGGAGGGGGCCGGAGAGCCGTGCTGCCTGCAAGGGGGGTCCAGGCAAGCAGGCAGGGGCTGGGCACAGCTTTCCCTGCTCCATGGCCAGCTCCTTCCTTGCCACCCCTTGGGCCAGTCTCCAGGAGGGGACACGGCCTCTCATTCCTCCTCCAGCTTTCTTCCTCCCCAGCTCTGGAAATGTAGCTCCTCAGTCTGGCCTGGCATAAAAGTGCAGGGTAATTCCACGGAATTATAACTTGAGTTTGGTTTGGGTTTGTTGGTTTGGGTTTGTTTGGGGTTTTTTTCTGGCATTTTCAGTGGAAAACTCCTTACAAGCTTCAGCTGCAAGACTTGTCTGATGGTTGCTCTGTTCTTCTCTAGATGTTCTCCTTGCATATGTGCAGGCTCTGTCTGCAACACCTGGACACTTTGCATTCTTGTGCTCAACTAGGAGAAGCATTTTGGGTGTCAGGGTTTAGCCCCTGTGGCTGTTTCCAGTCAAGGTCACAG